AAAGAAAGAAAGAAAGAAAGAAAGAAAGAAAGAAAGAAAGAAAGAAAGAAAGAAAGAAAGAAAGAAAGAAAGAAAGAAAGAAAGAAAGAAAGAAAGAAAGAAAGAAAGAAAGAAAGAAAGAAAGAAAGAAAGAAAGAAAGAAAGAAAGAAAGAAAGAAAGAAAGAAAGAAAGAAAGAAAGAAAGAAAGAAAGAAAGAAAGAAAGAAAGAAAGAAAGAAAGAAAGAAAGAAAGAAAGAAAGAAAGAAAGAAAGAAAGAAAGAAAGAAAGAAAGAAAGAAAGAAAGAAAGAAAGAAAGAAAGAAAGAAAGAAAGAAAGAAAGAAAGAAAGAAAGAAAGAAAGAAAGAAAGAAAGAAAGAAAGAAAGAAAGAAAGAAAGAAAGAAAGAAAGAAAGAAAGAAAGAAAGAAAGAAAGAAAGAAAGAAAGAAAGAAAGAAAGAAAGAAAGAAAGAAAGAAAGAAAGAAAGAAAGAAAGAAAGAAAGAAAGAAAGAAAGAAAGAAAGAAGCAAATCATAATAATACATTGAACATTCAGATGGAGAGAACAGATCTATGGTTCCTAGACGTGGGAAAGGGGGAGCAGGAGGAGAATTAGGGAGAACCCGAATAATGGACACAAAGAATAATAACTATTGTAAAGATGAACATGCTAAGAATACTGATTTGATCATCACGTACACAAATACCAAGAGTCAACTCTGTACCCTATAGATAGGTTTAATCGATTATGTTTCAAGTGTAAAAAATATATATATAGCAAATGATTTTAATATTATTCTATTATGCTACCATATCAAATCTTCTTTTGTTATTTTTAGGACAACCTGCAGCAACCTTAGTTTTTGTGGCTGTATAATAAGCCTGTAAACTGGAAAATGAATTGCAATGAAGTAGAATGCAACATAACATGAAGAGCTGTGAGACAGTGACCTGTACAGTAAGTGAGAATACATTTTTATGCAAAACCCAAGGTATTCCAAGAACCCAGAAGTGCCAAAGAATACTGTTGAAATTTTTTCTAAAATGATTGTTGCATTTTTAAAGTATTTGACAGAGAAATTGCTGAAGTAGAGACAAGATAGCATGATTTGATATGAAAGTGAAATATAGGTTTCTTGATAAGAAGAAAATATTACAAATCCTCCCAAAAAGGGTTTGACTGGATTGTTCCAATACATTTGACTAAAAGTACATAACACAGGAAAATACAATGCAAGGTTAATCATGTATACCAAAATTTGACATTTAGAAAAGATGTCTTAAATACAGCATCTTATATTGCAGTTCTACAGAGTGATAGAATCTACCAACACTTCACAGGAAGAAACAGATAATCTCAATAGCCCTATACCAGTGTACTTAAAAAAAGTTTGTGGAAAGATTCATATTATCTTTTAATTCTATTTTTCTACAAAGTTTTTGAAGTATCTTCGTACAGCAAGAGAATCAAAAGCACACTTTAGAAAAAGAAAATATCCCACTTTGAAATTAATTTATACAGAATAGATATTTTTACTCTGTTGTGTTTAAACTTCTAGTGTTCTGAGCACTGGGGTTGGAGTATAGTAACATAGATAGTAATAACTCTGCTTCCACAAAATAACTCTTAAATGACTCTGGAATCTCTGAGAAATATTAAGTATGCGTCTTCCAAATGCCAAAATTGAATATCTATCTATTTATCTTAGTAGTGCTTTAATTTCCTCAATAAAAGTTAGGTAGTACCATCTAGTGGCTGAGTGACACTTATGACAGTGAATTGAAGACAGGAATGAATGAGCTTTGGATGGACAGTGCAAATTCAGTGTCAAACTCATGAAAATTAATAACAAACTAATCATTTCAAGTCTTGACCCTTTAATAGCCATCTCTGTAGTCTTGGGTACATCCTTATTTTTCCAGGCCTTGGAATTGCCATGTGTAACATAAACAGGTTTAACAACTGGTGTCCAAAGTCCCTCTGAGTCTGTCACACACATGCTTCCTAATAAACCTAACTTCTGTAAAACCAATACATTTTAAAACATAAAATTATTGTAAAATTGTTTTGTACTCCTAAAAACATATTCCAATTAAAATGTCCATTTCTTGAAAACACATTAATTTCTATTTCTTTATGAAATGCTTGATTAATTAAATTATACAATATTACCTAGGATGCAGTGCTTTTTGTTTAATGATACATGTTATACTGCCATTAGAATTCACATTACATTATTAGATAAGACTTGTTCATGTTTTTGAGTCCCACCAAGTAAGCAATAGTTCTCTTTCCGTGAAAATTATTTTTTAATCATTTTATAATTACTGAGTGGGCAGACAAAAAAATAAATACAATGAGCTCCAATAATGAGAGTCCACAAAATTTATTTTAATCTACAAAATTAATTGTAACCCACAAAATATAAGGACAGGAAAAATAATCTCCAAGAAGTTTCTATTTAAACACCTTTACAAAGTAATGCTTAATGTTCTTCAAAAGCTATCTTAAGTCAACTGAGTCAATGATTCTCAAAATCAGAAGAAGAGGGTAGAGCTTATCAAATATACCTATAGGGACAGGGAAAGGTGAAGTTAGAAAATAGAGAAACATTGCTTTGCCCTACTTGTTTAATTTTAGCCCAGAGACATTTATCAAATATGTATTGAGCACCTAATCTATAACAGGCACATTGCAGCTGTAATATGCAAATACATCTTGAAATCTCAAATAGGAGACTGGGAGATATTTATGATTATCAATTAAAGAGCAGGTGTTATTAATACAATTTGAAGAAACACTGATAAAGTATTAGCTAATAGTTACTCATTTTGATTTTGACTAATAAACATTTTGATGTTTTTTGTTTCTTGTCTAATAATTAAAAATTCCTTTGAAAGAAAGCATCACCTAGTTCAAGCTTACCTGTTCCAAGAAACATTACATCGTACTGGCCGTCTTCTGCAATGACATGATCCACCACTATCTGCGTCAGTCTGTAATCCACATTGATTCGCTTGAATGTTGGTCCTCCGGCAACTGGGTATACTGACTTATACATAACGGGGTGCCGTTTTATGAAACTGATGACATCATCTGGAAAATCTCGCGTGGATTTAATCAGCGGGTCATAGGTTTTACTTGGACACTGAAAAAAAATGTGGAAGGAGGTAAAGACATTGCTAATGCACTCGAGAAATTTACACTTACTTCCAATAAATTTTTTAAGGCTTATCGTTGGTAATATTAAAGGAAAGAACAGTAGAGTTACTATAGAATCACCTGCACTGGTAAATAAATACCCCCAATATATTTAAATCCATTTTCCCTCGAAAATATTCTAAATTATATCTATTTATCTGTATTTTCTAATGTTTCCATAGTGAACTTTTTTCTTATGAAGATTGTTTCTAATAAGATACATGAAATTTAAGGTGAAATAACTGTTAAAAAAACAATCTGTAAACATGAGAACATAAATAATGGGAAACCATTATTTTCAATGTCCTTTCAGTAAATTTAAGATTTCAGTACAACTGAAACCATGTTAATGAAAAATAAAAAGGAACTAATCAAGTCACAAAAATCACTTTCAAAAGAGCTTCAATAGTTTGAAATTGTAATTATCTAGTTTTTAAAATAACTGGTGTGAAAATTATACTTTGAACAATTCAAAAGCTCTTCTCCTAAGCGATCTACGAAGAAACCCTCAGGGAATTTTTCTCCTGTCTAAAATTGCTTCTTACCTGCTTTTGTGTCCATTAAATCAATAGTTAGCATAACCTGCCCCCTCGTGGTACAAAATAAAAAATTCAACCTACTACAAATTAAATGTTCATTTATACAAAAATAAACAAATTGCTTTACAACTTGACTTTTTAAAATTTTTCTTCAGAAAATAAATCCTCTTCCTCAACATAAATCTATTTTATGTTTCAATATATTGTAATTTAGGAAGCTACCTCAGATAGAGCAATTCTGTTATCACATTTGAATTATTAGTGGACTAATGAATTCTTCTGGAATGGTAAACTAGCTGATTGATGGAGGCATAGAGAAGAAAACGACATTAGGGAAAGTTTGTAAGAAAACGCTTCTTTTACCTATTTTAGTTTTCAGACAAGTTGGGAACATAGTCTCCACTGAACTGAGACATTTATACTAGGCACTAATTAGAATCATGTCAAGGCTCCAAAAACACATTGTACTTCTCAGTCGAAGTGTTCAAGAGGGTCATTCTTAGGGAGCTGACGGCCCTGGCATTAGTCACATATATGATCCCAACCCCCAATTTATACCAGTAATGGCTCGTTATGAATTAGAAGAAAGTTGTACTAAAAAAAGAAAGAAGTTGTACTTAAAAAATTAATGATTTTCTATAAATAATTTAAGAATATCTTTAACTTTCACAAAAATCATGAAAGTCTGTTATTAAGAAACTGATTCTTTCTTAGCATCTGTTTATTTGTCCCAAGTGTGTATCAAAGAGAGTAGCAGTGTCCTAGAATATTAGCTATTTGGTACTTATTTAGTACATTCTTAACTAGGTGTTGGTCTAAAGATCTAAGTCTGCATATTCAGTCAATGTAGCACTTAGCCCTTAGCATAGTGGAATCTGTCAACTCAGTAGGGAACCCTATATTAAATAGATTAAGCAGAGACTCAAATTGGATATGGAGCTCAAATGATACAAAGCGCTTGCCCAATTACAGGCTGCATATTTGAAGCTCAGTCAAAGGCCATTCACAGTGGGCTTACAGTTTATAACGCCTGCAGTTCAATCTGCTTGGCCTATCATTAAAATCAAAAATAAAGCAAGATTGTGCCTGCAATACATTTTTGAAAAAGGCCTCCAACTTAAGTAAAACTCTCCTTTGATTTTGTAGCTGCAGTTATGCAGTGGCCAAAATTAAAAAAAAAAAAAAATATCATGACATGCAAGACACAATTTCTGATAATTAGAAATTTTAATGTAAGAAAATATAGCTGAATAAAGATATGAACATTTAGCAAAGAAATAAATATGACAATTTTCCTCCTTGCTCACCTCCTGTGACAAAAATGTTTAAGTGTAGTAAAATCTAAGAAAAAAACAAGAGAAGGAAAACCTGTTTTCTATTGATATTACAAAATGATCTTCGAAAATATATTTTTTCTTATGGCTGCTTTTCCTCATGGCATACAGCCAGTATTTGGATAAGATCTTTATCCTCTCACTTGCTATGCATGATCTCTCAGGTCCGACTCTCCATTGTGCTTGTACAAATGAAAGTGATTTGGTAGAGTTACTCCTAGAGGTTTAAGATAGTACAGTTTGAACCAAATATTATTCTAGTACATTTAAACCAGTGGAATTTTTGCTTTGATATCATATAGCTGTGGAGCATGCAGATCTAAAAATAACTCGAGATGCCCGGCAATGTATGCAGGTAGGAGTAAAGTAGGAAAGAAAAAATCACTTAAGGAAAAAGAGAATGTGGAGAAATGCTTCATCTAAAGCAAACGGTCATATTCAATTGTTTATTTTCCTCCAAATAATTCTAGAAAAATTGCAGCTATACATCCCAGATATTAAAAATCTAGTGATTTTTTTTGTCTCTCTATAAATGCACTTTTAATAGCTATTAACAAGACCATCTAAACATACCATAGGTGACCATTTATTTCTTTTCCTTCCAGTTTTCTAACATTTGCCTAAGTTCCACTCCTTTAGCACTTGCAAACATAAGAAATAAATCAGGGAACTTTTCTTCTGTGTCTCCACCTACTATTTTGAAGAAGTCTAAGACTTTAAAATTTGAGCGAAAGAAAAAAAAAGAAGAAAGCTATTACCCAAATGTTAAAATGTCAGTATCATGCTGGAAACATTAACCCCAGCACAAGGGTAGAAGTGAAAAGAGAACCTGCCTAGACAAACCCTGAGATGAAAGGGTAAACCGCCAGCAGCAGCCCTGGTTCAGCACCTCTCTGCCACAGCCGCGATGGCTGGCTAGGTGTGAGCATGTTATGCTTGGCAGATCCGCGTGTTTGCACAGGGCCTTCAGTAGTGGAGTGGGAAGCAATGGATAAGAGGAGAAAAATGGTTTTTATCCAATGAGAGAACTTTGCCCCTTGGCAAGACACCAGACAGCTGTTAAAAGTTTTCCCCCTCTACTGCCTTAGGCTATTCTCTACAGGTTGCTGTTTCCTTTTAAGCAAATCAGAGGAATGACTAATGTGGGAGAAGACATGGCTCAAGGAAAGACTGAACCAGGCTTTCATTTTCAGCAAACTGGGAAAAATAAGCTGAATGTGTAAAGGAAGTCAGATTTTTTTATTTATATAGTAAAAAATTCAAACGTAATGGGTGCCATCTTATCACCCGCTTATTCACCTAAGAGTCAGCCTGTAACCCATACGGGCAAAGCAGGACCCTACATTAAATATCAGAGCTAGAAAGGCCAGAGGCAACAATACAGACATAAATTTATTTCCCTATCTTGTGCTCTCTTTTGAGATTTCCCTTCTTTTAGAGGAATTTATATACCAGGAAAAGCAAAACACTATTGAATGTAGTAATTAGCCTGGCATTTACAGGACCTCATTTGAAAAGCAAATGTTGGCCCTATGGGAAAGAAAGCTGAAAGGCAGCTGGAAAGGTCGATTCATGTTAAGAATCTGTTGCCTGTCACCACATTAGAGAAAGGTAACCTATACGAATATAGAGAAAGGGAGATGATAGTCATGCTTTATCATACGGCCCTTTCAGTGTCACCAGTTTTAAGTACTTGAAGTCATGATGCCCAGATTCTAGTGCCACTTCTGCTTCTCCCTTCTAGAACCAAAATCCTAGAAAAAATGTAATTAGAGATATCTTTGGGTAATTTAGAGAGAAGATGACAAAGTAATAGTTTGTTTTCCACTAGGGGGAAGGCCATGCAGTGAACAAATATTAAGGGGAAAATAAATCTGTGAATTCAATATAATGAGGAGGCATGAGTAAGCCAGTGATGCATAAAATGAGATTTCCCCAGTTTTCCACAGATTTTTAAATTAATTAGGAAAGCTTTCCTTAAAGCCAAACAAACCACAACAACAATAACAACAAAATGTTAGCCATATTCCTCAGGCACACAACGGGGATAATGTGAGATACTTAGGGAGTTCTTCCACTATATTTCATATTTTTCAGTCTCCTTTGGTAAGACTAACACAGTCTAACACTATATGAATCAAGAGGAAGTTTTGGATACTATTTTTGAATTATGTATTTTTCTTTGGTCAATTACACTTATGGAAGTCAACCTTAAAACATCTTTTTTGTACAATATAAAAAATAAAATTCTGACTTAATAGGACCAGCATAGTTTATAATTGAGATCTAATTTAAGAGATTAATGAAAACATAAGATTCTGAGAACCATTAGCTCTCTATGGGAAGAATGTGTTATATAGGATTATGCCAATGTTCAAGCCAAAGAGTTTAGGTGGAGTAGGAAGGAAAACAGGGTGCCCAAGGAGTTTTGAGCTTGTGGATTCCATGGTTACCTCAAGCACCTGCTGTTGTGAACATAAACCAAGGTAAAAGTTGCAGTTTGTCAACAATCATTCTAGCTCTACCTGAAGCACCATTACATTCATCTGGTCTTCTAGGTGGACTCAATTATTGACATTATGTATTATTAGCCTATGACCTAATCCCTCCAAGATTTGCTTTTGTGAAGCAAAATCATGAACTAATCTCAGGCGAGCTCAGTGATGCCTGGATATAGAGGAAAAACGACCTTGCTAGAGCAGGGAGGTTATGCCAGGACCCAGTGCTGGTCAAGTACTGTATTTATTAAGATGAACTTTCCAGGGGACCTGAAATCAAAATAACTTTGTAATTTCTCAATGTCCTTTACAATTTAGAAAGTCTAATAATTTAGTGGCACTAAATAAGGACTGTCAGACATATCTACAGGCACACCCCAAGTTTGGAAGGTTTTATTTCATATCAGAAAAGAGGAACGATAAGGACACTGCAGCAAAGGGAGGAAACAGTTTGGCCTTTGCCTTTGACTTTCTCCAGAGAAAAACCCATGTGAGGAGTCGTTCGTGACAGGGCTTCTCATTCAGACAAAGATATGAAATGTTACAGAGAGGGAGATATTTCATTATTTTACATGT